CAGAAAATCAACAATGGTTTCTTCCTGCTTGGGGTATACCATTTTGTTACGCTCTTCTTGATTTTCTGCCTCACTTATCTCTTCAGCCTTTCGATCTATGATCTCGACCATGTTGACATCAACCTTATCTTCTAGCTTCATCTTATAAAAGTGAGCTTCCAGGTTTTCAGTGGTCTTCTCCATACACTTATCATCTGCTTCCTTTGTTACCTTCTGCCAGGTGGAATCTTCAGCTTCAATCATTGTTTCAACATTAAACTTTTTAATGTCAAGAGATGTTTTGAAGTACTGTTCTGCTGCCATGCATATCTAGTTTTCTAACAAGCAGCCATCCATCTCCATCGTTTCCCCTACCAACACCATGTTTTTCTCCAATTCTTTGACGACTTCGACTCTGGGAACCTTTCTACCCATAGCCTCATTAGTGCTGATACTATCTGAACTAGCATCAGATTCCTCACCTAATTCAACCATGTTAATACCCTCAGTAGCATTTACTCTCAGTCCTCTCACTGCCACATCTAATCCCTTAGCAGCTTTATCCATCTCAACAAACTTATATGCAATTTTCTTGGTTATCAACATCAGACTACTATGATCAGTGCTTCCTCCACTTAAACTATTTGCAGTATTGTTAAAACCTTTAGAAGTTTTATCTCTCAGCTTGTGCATGTAATTATGGTCTAAGCATTCATTTACTTTGGTCATCACAGGCTTTGTGGCGAAGTCTTCAGTAATTTCCACCATGTTGACTGAAAAGTTGAACCCTTCAGTGGCCTCGACCATCTGGACCTCTTCAGGCTCTGCACAGAGAGCCTCTGCGGTTTGCAATGGGTCAGAGTCAATCTTCATTTAGGCCTTTCCTTTGTCCCCAAACTTCAACCTTCCTTCTTGGATAACACCTTGCACCAAATCCATGAAAAGAAAACATTGAGATGTTTTATGACTCAAGACATTATGGTACTTACAAAAACATATTTTCTTTCTTTGTTCTAAAGGTGACATTTTAGCACCAGCAGGCATTATTATTTGCCCATCCTTAACTAACAAATCAAATATTTCGTCACATTTAGTAACGTTAAAAGTATATGTTTTCTTAGGAAATTTGTCATTAGATTCGACATGATTTTTTCCATTTGAAGGAGCTAATAGTTTACAAACGTAAGGTGGACCTTGCTTTAACTCAGCAACATCAACCTCAATTTCGTCGAAATGAGATGTTTCATCATATAGATTCTCCACGTCTTCATTACATTCGACAAAGGCTACTTTTTTACCCTTGCTGAATCAAGCTTTCTCCTCTTTTAGCCTTTCTAGTTGTCGAACTCTATCAGCTAACTGAGCCATATCTCTGAGATACTGGATATCCAACTTCTTCCTAATGGAATAATCAAGACCCCCAGCAGCCATTTTGACCAACTCATTATCTGGCACTTGTGTAAAGCACCTAACTTTAAGAAGTCGAAACCTATTCAGGTAATCATCAATTGGCTCAGTGATTTTGCGTTTGATACTAGCTAACTCTTTCAGGATGATCTTGGTTTGTCCCATGTAGAATTGTTCGTGAAACAAACGTTCTAATTGGGAACTTGGGAACTTGGGAAAATTTTGACTGAATTATTAGGCAAAGTAGTAAACCATGTAAAAGCATTTTTGGTGAGGGAACTTGGGAAAATTTTGATCCTAAGGCTTTCGTCACCTGCAATCTCGCCAGCTTCAATCATATACCTAGCCACGTGTTCAACGGTCGATTCAGTAGTATCTCCTGAGAACTTACTGAATTTTGGAATCTTCGTCCTAGGGGGTAATTTAGACTGAAGAATATAATCCACTATGGGCGAAGTATAATTTGGCCTTGTGAAGCCAAAGTTTACACAATTTCTAGTCATTATTCTTTCGACCATGGCTGTAAGATATTTTTCTTCTGCTGCATTTTGGTGTCGAACCTGTCTAAGGAATCGGTCAGCATTTTGGTTCCTATTCACCATGACTACTCCTGGTTCCTCCTTCCGATGGATTGACACCTGGTTCCTTTGTGGTTCGACTCTGAAAGGTTCGCTCATCTCTTGATCCTCCCAGTTCACCTCAGGTACATTTCGTGGCTGACATCGTGAAATATTCTCACCAATAGTTGCTCTTCGATCCAGTGTTGACACTCCCATAAAATCAGTCATACGTGCTAATTGTGTTGCCAATTGTTGGTTAGTTTGAGTAGTATTCTGAATCAACGGTTGAAAAACTTCTCCCATTGTCTGAGACAATGTATGTACCATTTGCATATTACTTTCATCCATTTGCTGTCTCAAATAGTTTATGGAGGTATTTGTAAGACTGGGTGCTTGAACAGAGTAACCAACATCTATGCTTTAGTTGTTTCGACCACCTGATCCAAATCCTTACACTGACGAAGACACTACATTTTCTGAAAATATGGGTGGAGCACTCTGCAGATTTTGCATCATTGACGTAGGCATTCCATAAGGTAAATTCCTTGGCAATGACTATGAGAAACCCGGAGGAGGAAAACGCCTATGCAATGAACTTCCTCCTGGGGGTGTTGGTGGGTTAGGAATTTGTGGTCCTATATATTCCAACACATGTTGAATGTACGTTCTTACACACGTTGATCCTGGACTTGCCATACACGGCATAGGTTCAGACACAACTGCTGGCAGTGACGTCTGTCCTCCCGTCGAAGACACTGGAGATGGTGTACTTTGAGACCCCGTGTTGCTTGCCTGAGTGTTTCAAATACTTCCTTGAGGATCAACTTGTTGACTAGCATTGGTTGTCATTCTCTTAGTATATCTTCCCTTTGGTATACCTTCGTTTGCTGTAGCTAACTTCCCACTTCTTAATAACATACAACGAAGTGTTTCTCAAGAAGATGGATATGATTAACACAAAATTTGGAATATTTAGCACTGGGTCCTACTAGGTGTGCCAATTTGTTTATTGTAAAATTTGGTAAACAACCTCTGGTCTATCAATTTTGGGTAAAATTGAGTAACTTGCAGGATCGACCATACAAATCCTAGGACATGTGCTAAGTTTAAAAGAAAATCTAAATTGAACTCCACATTCGACTGTAAAACTTTGTAAAGCAAAAACAACTTGGAAATTAGCAAGGTTGTAAAATAAAGAGTGTAATTCTTAAAGCGTCGAAAGTAAAAGGCAAGATGTAAAAGACTTTGAAAATAAAGGCAAGAATGTAAAAGACTTTGAAAATAAAGGCAAGAATGTAAAAGACTTTGAAAATAAAGGCAAGAATGTTAAAGACTTTGAAAATAAAGGCAAGAATGTTAAAGACTTTGAAAACAAAGGAAAGAATGTTAAAGGTTCAAATCCAACTATAATGGCTCGATTAAAATGACACAGTTTCGGGTCCTGTATGGTTGCGACCCCCTCACCTTATGAAAGATACAATTGTTCTATCTTCTCTTGCTGAAGTTATTTGACTAACAGAGGAGCGTGACACCGTTTTGAAGGAACTCCAAGTCAATCTGCAAAAGGCTCGGAGTTAGATGCAGCAACAAGCAAATAAGCATCGTCGCAACATCTCTTTTGTTGTTGGTGATTTGGTTTATTTAAAATTTCAACCACAGAGATTGAAGTTTTTGACAAAGAAGACAAAGAAGATCAATAAGAAGCTTAATCCTCAATTTTGTGGTCCATATAAGATAATCAAAATTGTTGGACAAGTTGCTTATCAATTGGAATTGCCGCCTGGTACTAAAATTCACCTTGTCTTTCATATTTCCTTACTTAAGAAGGCGATTTCCCCCGATGTTCAGCTACAACCCCTACCACATTTGTTGACTAAAGACATGAAATTGAAGGTGGAATCTCAGGATATCAAAGTTGTCCTAACAATTTATGCTGGTCAAGTTGAAGTCTTGGTTCAGGGGAAGCAAATTCCCGAGTTTGGAGCATCATGGAAATCCTTTGACACCATTAACCAATAGTTCCCAGCTTTTTATCATGAGGACAAGATGAAACTCTTAGGGGAGTATTGTTAGTAGGCCTCCTATCAAGTTTGTTTATATTAGGCGTGAAGTCAAAAAAACCCAAGTAATTAGACAAAATTTATTTTATTCAATATGTTTTGAATAGAATAAAGATGACAATTAGTAGTCATCGAATTGTTGTTAATTATGATTTGGTCAAGGAAGAGACTACACTATAATTCTTAGAGGTTGATTATTATTGTGTTAGTTATTTCTTTTTAATTGGTAGTTACCGACACTGTTGTGTATGCGTAATATTTTCTATTGCAATGAGACATTTCTATTGTAACAAATCGTCCATATAACAATTACCAGATCCTATCAGAATCACACTTTATTTTATGTTATTAGAAAACTCGTCAAATCTCAAATTTTGCTCATGTATCCTTTACCAACCATGAACAAGATTTTTTCAATGGTTCTTTAACATAAAAGACACGTAAACTCTACTGCTTTTGACGTTTCACAAGTTTAGATCAATGCAGTGATATTCAAGAAATCCAATTCAATTTCCAAGCTAACATTCCAAAGATTTTCTAATATTCATCGTGAATAGAATCCTGAGTCCCATTTTATAAAATCTTCGGCATATGCACCACACTTCATTCTCATAGGACTAAACTTCACAGAAACCAAACCCAATAAATCACAGAAAATAAATTTTCAAATAGCAAACACACACAGGTTGGAAAATAAGAAAACAAGAAAGAAAATTAACACATCGTTCTAGTGATCATGCTTTGATAAGTCACCAAATTATAAACATCAAAAGCACCTATTGATTTTAGCTTTAGATACAAATGAAGCCAAAAAAGTAGGCTGTAGCAATCACATCAATGACAAGCTTTGTGTTGTTTTTTTTACTTGTCCAACCTTGTATAATACATACAAATACATGAAATCAGACAAAACCTTTGATGGAGAAGAGTTTAGATTTTAATTCAATCATTGCAGGCCTAAACATCACATGCACCAACAACTTTTAAGTATTCATCACTTCTTCTCTGTTGTAACGCCCACAACAACATTGCTTACCTGTGCCAGTTCACATTCTTACAATTAGACTTTGTTTTGCTAAAAAATCGCAGAAAAATCAGTGAAAGAGAAGAGATAGTAATTACCAATTTTCCACTTGAATCAACGGACATAGGATTTTCTACTACTACAGTTTGGCTCTCAAAGCGGGGTCTTGGCTGCAGGGTAATACGATCATTTATATACTTGTTAGATATCATAACAATAAACCAATGGTATGTACTATGAATAATAACCAACTGAAAGAAAAATCAAAAGCAATAATGATGCAATATAAGATACCGTTTCGGAACTGGTTGTTTCATTAGGTCTCTGTGCAGGAACCGGTGGCCTTCCATTGGTCATCTACAGAAGGACAACGAAGCACAAGATTCACATCATATTTTCAAATTTTCATGTCATTGTGATATCAGATGAGAGGCGGGCACAGAGAAATAGAAAGTGAAATCATGGATTAATATAAGTCCATCAATGTATACTTACACTGACATTAGTAATATAGTGACATATTGCACATTTGACCGAGGGAGCTCCGTAAGGATACACGAGTGTTGTTCGACAGTTCCCACAATGGATATGGCTCATTTGATTAGAATCTTTTTGATACAGACACAACCCAAGAACAAGTCAGTAAACAATTTAGCATATATGATTGATGAGATTAGTTATTACTATAAAATAAGATATCCATCGTTGAAGTGACATAAGAAGAAGAAAATGGAGCTGATTAAATGACAGTTCTTTAACACCAAGCATCCTAAAGATATAAGATTCATAATTATTATATCTACACAAATATCTACACAATTGAGGTGTAAAATGGTGCACTGGATAAAGTAAGGATAGTAAGGATGACAGCAGGGTAGGCCAGCGGAGATAATGCTCAGACAATAAGAACTACAGCTCCACGGCTCCACCAATACAGAGGAAAGAGAAAAGGCTGCACCAGAGCTGAGCCCTGAACAAAGTAGAGAGCAGACAACGAAGTTGAAACACAGTCAGTCAAGTATGCACGATTTTTAGAGTCTCCTTTTTGGCCCTGATACCATGTTGGTAAGGGAATATGAGAACCATATGCTAAAAACAATGTCTCAACTTTACCACAAATTTTGTTGATTTACTGTGAAGAGTTGTGATCAGACATATGCTGTCCTACGAATAATCAGAAGATATTATGTTTGTTGGATATTTCTTGCCGGACTGTTTAGTTGTTAGAGACACAAAAACCAATTTTGAGCCTTTAACCAAACATCTTAAGCTTTTAGAAGGGTTGGTTGTCGACATGGCATCAAATACTACAACCAACCAATCAAACATTCAACCCTTGTCACTCCCATTCTTCTGAATAAAACTGAATTTCAGCATAAAGTGGAGCGTGGGTTTTTACATTGTACACAACTCCACACTTCAAACGCAAAGGGTTCTTGGACAAAGAAATGTGGGTGAGATATAAAAAGTATTGATGATATTTCACTACACACCACGGTCTCTTTTAGGTCCGTTGATCACTGAAAGTAGACGACAAATACTTGTTTGAGTATGGTGTACATATAATTGGCTTGCATTTATTAATAGACATCAACATATAGCTTATGCAAAACTATACAGCAAAGGAATAGAGGAAAGGAGAGAAAACTCCCCCTGCTCCTACTGAACCTACACCAGGATTTCGGATCACCATAAATGAATTAAGTGTATTTAATGACCAAGAAAACTAAAAATACATGACTATAGTTACAAATTAGAAAGGTGCATTTATCAACAAATCAACATGCAGTGCAACAAGGTTCATATTAAACTAAAAAGCTGTATAAATCTGGCAACACATGATTGTAAATATATTATACCTGTTACAAGATTTATAGTGTTACAGCAGGAACATCTCACGCTAGTAGCGCCACGTGTGTACATTAGCAATGTCCTACAGCCTCCACAATAAAGTTGTGACATTTCCATTCCTGCAGGCACATTAGGAAATTAAAGATGCCCAGATGTAACCACTAAGTTTAAACCCAACAAGAAATGAACATCTAATCTAGCTAGAACCCTTGGAAGAACCGAAAACCATGGTGGCTTCCATAACTGCAAAAGCTAAAAGCTTACGACATAACCCAAGCGCGCAATCAAGTTAACTAAACACACTAAGCATGGAGCAAGAAAGTTCCTCGAATCCTGAAATCTTGATAACAGAAACAGAAAAATAAAACGTACCAGGAGGAAGAACAGGAGTAATCGTGTTGCACAATGCACAGCAAACATTGGTTGCTCCTCTAGGGTAAAGCAACATGTTCCTACACCCACTACACACAATGTGGCTCCGCATAGCTACAAAGTCAAACAAAACCACAATCAAACATACAAAAAGAGAACAAAGAAAATAAACACCACCACAGCCACAATGAAAAATAAACAAAAAACATAAAATGAGAATTTGTCAGATGTACATTATATCTCTTGCCAAACCATTACACTCTATCAAATCAATACTATTTCTCTGATACACATGTCCAAACCACCTAAGTCGAGATTCATCCATTTCTCAACCAACAACCAACATCATTCACAAGATATATCCATTTTTAAACTATTGATTTCTCCGAAATCTATACCTCTACTAACATACCCAAATCACCTAAGTCGATATTCAATAATCTTTTCTACAACAACCACCATCATCACAAGAAAAAATTTAATCTTTACAATTCAAACACCAAAATATTCAAAATTCTAACAACAAAACAAAGGCCTATCACAGCAATAACAATTATCATAGCATAGAAATACAAACCCAATAATTTTTATGAAATTTAAAGATTGAAAGATCTAAGAAAAAGAATACCTGCAATATAGTGAATTGGGAAAACGCACAGCAAGATTGTTGTGCGGAGAAATCAAACTATGAACGAAAGAACAAAAAGGAAACGTTTTTGATTCAATTGCGATTTCTTTCTATTAAAGTTTTGATCTTTTTGCCTTCAAATTCAAGTCTTGTTTAATTCTTCTTTCTGGATTGATGATGTGAGGAAACTTCTTCACCGATTTTTTTTTATTTTTTATTTTTTTATTTTACTTTAAACTTTATGCATTAAAAAACAAATATTGTTTTTGTACCAAAATGGTATAAAATTTATTATATTCTGTTATTTTGCAATGAAAATTGCTTAGAATGTTTTTTTTTTGGTATAACTTTGACTTCATTTAATGTGGTAAAATAGTGTTTTTTGACTCTGATTTTTCTAGACTCATTTAGAGTTTAGAATTAGGAAAGAAATCTTACCATAAAGGATATTATTAACTAACTAGTTTACAACAAATAGTTGGTATCTTAAAAATTAGCAAAATAAATTTATAATAACTGTTGAACTGAATAATAAATAGTATAAAGTAAAACAAATAAAATATTTATAATTTTTGTTATTTTTTTTTTGTAAAATAGGAAACTAAAGATAAAATTCAAAACAAAATGATGACTTATAGGTCACATATAATATAATAAGAAAAGAAAGAGGATATTAAGAAGAGGTGGACTGAGTCAAATTATCCATCAAAAATTAAGCCTAGAGTTAGATAACCTATATAAAGAGAAAATTCTTTTCAAATTTTTGGGGATAAATATTTAATGGCTATTTTGGATGGAAGAGATATGGGCGAGATCTGACTAATTAAGGATGGTACTATCCTCATTTCTCTAGAGGGACGCTCTCTTTGATGTTGCTAAGTTTACTGAGAGTTGTCTTCCATTTTCCAAGAAATTTCCTTAAGATTATATGAACTTTTACAATAGATCATCTAAGGAGTTATCTAATGTGACAGTGCCACACTTGTTGAGGACTCTCCTGATCGGGTGAGTTCAACGAGTTCAACGGGAGAAGCATGGCAAAGCTATCAAGGACCTGAAGTTCAAACTCGCCAAGACTTAGGAAGTCATCATGCAACACCAAGAGACAATAAAGATCTTGGCACAAGAGAAAGATGGTCTAAAGGTGTTACTCAAAACGGTGGCATTAGAGGTGCAAACTTACGCTATTGTTGCTAATAGGATAAAATGCTCTTTGAATGAGGCTATTGATTATATCAAGAAGCTCGAGGAATAAGTATCTACCCTTAAAGACGACTTGGTAGATAATTCTGATTTATACTTCAAGTGGGCGAAAGAAGAAGTGGTTATTATATATTATCTATTAGGGCATGTACTTAAGCCGAATGGATTTATTTAAGGTAGTTCGGGGAGGCCAACTGGTGGAAGACGAGAACATCCTATCAGACAGATCCCGGGCAGGCGACGCCATCAGCATCGGCGATCCTCTAGAGGACTAATAATTCCAGGGTCTCGCACTTATCTTTTTTTTCTTTTTGTAATTTGTTGTCCCTCTTTGGATCTCTAATCAATAGTATTCTCGTAATTTATATATTTATATTATCTTATAGAAGATTTGCCAATGTTTATTTATTTTCTTTTTGGGGCGAAGGCCTTCTTTTGGATATGCCTTTATTGTTCCATAAGTGTTATGGCGCCTTCTTGCGGCATAGGCCCTATTGCAGATGCTTAATATACTCGCCAAGAAAGGAGACAATGATTCCTTTGTGAGAATCTAACATGCAGCTGCCTCGAGGGGTGACATGGATTCCTACACGAGGATCCAACTTGTAATCGCCTTGAGGAGCTGATCACCTCAAGGGTAAAAAATGATTCCTACGTAAGGATCCAACATGTAATCGGCTTGAGGGGCGACAATGATTCTTACATGAGGATCCAACATGTAATCTCCTTTAAGGGGTGGAAAGGATTCCTACATGAAGATCCAACTTGTAATTACCTCGAGGGTTGGAAAGGATTCTTATGTAAGGATCCAACAAGTAATCGCCTAGAGGGGAAACAAGAATTTCTACATGAGGATCCAACATGTAATCGCCTCAAGTGGTGGAAATGATTCCTACGTGAATATCCAACTTGTAATCGCCTTGAGGGGTGGAAAGGATTCCTACGTGAGGATCCAACTTGTAATCGCTTTGAGGGGTGGTAATGATAATATTCTCTTGCTCCGAGATGACCTGCACATAAAATAATAGTAATACAAATACTTGCATAAATTAAGTTAGGGTCTCATTGAAAATCATATGTCACCCTAATAACACAGCAAAAGAGTACCCTCACAGAAACATCATTGTTCATACAAACGCGACCGAGACAATAGCTAACCTAAAGCATACATCAAACAAATTTAACTAAATGAGATCCACTGGTTTGGTTATTGCTTCTTTGCGAGCAATTTTCTTCATCATCTTTCACGTTCTCCTCTTTTGGAACGATAAGGTCTTCTTCTACAGAAGCTTTTCTTTGCATCTTCATCTTCGTGTCCATGGTGTTCACCTCTATTGTTCTGACATTCTTCAGCTTTAAGCTCTCTATATAATATTTTCTAGCAATCTCCTGACCCCCTTATATTGAGAGCCCCGACTGGTTAAAGTTTGGTCGCCCTATGATCATATTATAAGATGAAGGTGTGTCTATGACTAAATATCTTACCTTGACCTACTTGGCACCATCTCGCCTGAGAACCCTACCAAATATCCCTAAAAGAGATTAAGATCGTCCAAATCTAGGCAGAACCTCTCTGATCAATCAGGACTCTATTGATTTGCTATTCGTCACATCAAACCAAAATTACCATGGGGTCATCATTATGCAGGTGAATGATGATCATGTCTTCCTCGCAGAAGGTGATCTTGACCTTGGATCAGTGGTGTTGCCTGTTTGGTGGTCAACAGGAGGACTTTTGATGGTCAGGATTTGGCGAGTGTATCTTTTTCAAGCGGAACTAGTTTCCCTGCCTCCTGCAAATCCTCCTACAATGGTGTTGAGCGTGTGGTGGATAATCATGTCGCCCTTCTTCCCACTTGGTTATTTTCCCTTATTGGCTCGGGGACTCTCGTGGCTATTTCGCCCCTAGGAATCAGACCCCCATGTCCCTTAACTGGGGAAATGCTTAATACATTTCTTCAAATTTCTTTCCTAGATTACGCGTTATATCTCATTCTTGAGCTGAAGGTAGTCCTTTATTGGTGATCCTTGACCTTATGAAACTTACACAAACTTTTCGGCTCTGATCCCATGATGTCTGCCTTTGGTGTTGGCGGTTGAGGGTGTTTTGTATGAGTTTATGTTATTGATGATATTCTAGTGGTTGATATGAGTTATAAGACTGATAACATGTTGCTTATCTATCCTTGTTGTTTATGCACGCTATCTATATATGAATGTATTCTCACCCCTTTCTGTTTGTTGTTAAGTTTGTGCTCCTCTAGGGTATAGATGATCAGGTACAAAAGTAGATGCTTGATGCTAGAGAATGGAGTTGTGCCTCTTTATTTATTTATCTTTTAGTTCTTAGTGGAGTCACTCTGATATATAACACCTGGGGAGCATTCTGTTATATTATTTTGTTGTTGCATGTCTTATTTTGTTTGAGGATTTTTGAACCACTTTCTCATTCATTGTTGTTGAGATTGATATGTTAACTTTTGGTTTTTCCGCTTCTTATTTCTGAAAGTGTTAATCATGGTTATACTATGTTATGGTGAAGCATGTGTGACACTCTATTTGTTGAGTTATATTGAATTATTTTATTAAATACCAAGTCGGGAAAATAGGGTGTTACAGTGTTGACATTACCTTAAAAATTATGGGAATCTTTCCCAAGCATTAAACAAAGACTCATCATCTCCTTGCCTAAATGAAGTGATTTCATTTCTCATTTTTGTATTCTTGACAAGAGGAAAATACTTAGCTAAAATTTGTTTAGCCAAGGCATTCCATGTGGCTATGGAATTAGGTTCTAAGGAATTGAGCCAAATAATTATTATATCCATTAGATGTATGGAAACAAACTCAATCTAAAAGCATCATCAGTAGTTCTAAGGATTTTGAAGTTACTAACAATTTCCAGAAATTACCTCAAGTGTAAATGTGGATTTTCATTAGTAGCTCTTGAGTATTGGCCAATGGTTTCTAACATTTGGAACATCATAGGTTTGAACTAAAATTGTGCCATTGTGATCTCTAGTCGTATGATTCTTGTGTTCATGGAATTAGGATCAAACATAACATAATCCCTTATGTTTCTTGATCCATCATTTGCAATGCCAATAATTTCATTTTCTGCTATGAATCCTTCTTGCTCCACTTGTAATTCTTCAAAGAGTTCTTCAAAGGGATCTTTAAAGTGTTCTTTAAAAACTTCAAACACAAGAGTTGGAGGAGGGCTTCTTGGTAAGGGACCGATAGCTTAAAATATACTGAGTAATCTGAGTGTTTTTTTGGCT